GGCATCAACAGGGCGTGGGGCATGCAGCTGCAACTTCGAGCTTAGGGAGTTTAGCTTTGGGTGTTACCACGGTTCCGACCACATGGGAAGGATTTGAAGCGGCGCTGAAAAGTAGGTTCGATTTGGTGAACGCCTCCGAAGCTGCTAGGAAGCGTCTGCGTCATTTCCGACAGATAGGCAACGTCCAGGAGTACACACGACGGTTCTTGAGCATCTGCAACGAGATAGACGATATCACGGAAGCAGAGATGCGCGATTGCTACCTCGAAGGGTTGAAGCCGGACATAGCGGAAGTCATTGCGATTCACGGGTTGTCCACCTTCGAGTCGGTAGTCGCAGCAGCAGAACGCGTCGACGCAGTACGAAGCCGACGGGGTCGTGACGATCGCGATAGGGGATACAACAGACCGATCAACGACGCTCGATCGAGGGACGGACCATCGCCCATGGAGATTGGTGCAGTTAACAGTGACGGCTCACAGAAAATGGGATTTAGGGGGAACTGTCACTACTGCAAAAAGCCGGGACACATGAAGCGAGACTGCCCACAGCTTAAGGAGCGGCAGCAGGGAAACGGAAACCGCCAGTAGATAGCGGGTCGCTAGCTGGTGTGGAGGTTCCCGTACCCGCCACGTCTACCAACGTAGAGGAGACGGCTTTGCAACAGTCATCTACGGAGAACGAGGTAGACACTGTTGATCGTCCAGTCGTGCTTCTAGGGAAGCTTCGCGGAGTTCCTGTTAAGATTCTCGTAGATAGCGGAGCTAGCCACTCGTTCGTCTCTTCATCGTTAGTTTCTCGTCTCCATCTCGAAGCAGATTCAGCAGTCAACTTCAAGGACGCTCGCATGGTAGATGGGACGCCACTTCACATAGGACCGATCATCCGCAAGTTGCGCGTAGTGCTAGGACCGATCACAGTCAGGCGTGATTTCGACTCTGCGACGCTGGACGGATACGATTTTATCTTCGGGAGAGATTGGCTACGGACGGTTAGTACTCAGTTCGATTGGGCTCAGGGAAGCTGCAGCGTCAAGGTAGACGGGGAGTTCCGGGAGCTGCCACAGTGGAGCGATGGGGCCACATCATCCACAGCTATCATTAATGCTGTTCGTGTGCGACAGTTAGTGAAGCGTGCGGCACGGATCTTCGCGGTTTTTCTTGAGGAGGTGGAAGCTGAGGAGGGGAAAGGAGGGAGTGCAGCAGTTAGTGAGAAGGCGACTCTTCCTGCTGAGGTGAGTGCACTGTTAGCAGAGTTCGCAGACGTCTTCCCCGACGAGTTGCCCCCAGGGTTGCCTCCCAGCCGAGCAGTAGACCATCGAATAGAATTGGAGCCGGGGAGCAGGCCAGTAGCGAAGCCACAGTGGAGGTTGAGTCCAGCGGAGACAGAGGAGATGACGCAGCAAGTTAGGCACTTTCTCGCACAGGGTTTCATACAGCCATCTAGATCGCCTTGGGCCGCACCGATACTTTTCGCACCCAAGAAAGACGGAGGGTTACGGATGTGCATAGATTACCGCGCACTGAACGCCGCCACTGTCAAGAATAGATTCCCGGTGCCGAGAGTAGAGGATCTTCTCGATGCAGTGCAGGGCGCTAGAGTCTTCTCAAAGATCGACCTTCGTTCGGGTTACCACTTGATTCGAGTAGTTCCAGAGGACCAGCACAAGACGGCGTTTCGTACGAAGCAGGGGTTGTACGAGTTTAGGGTTCTACCGTTCGGATTGACCAACGCCCCAGCGACGTTTCAAACGCTCATGAACACAGTCCTCTCCGAGTTCCTAGGGTCGTTTGTTGTCGTTTACCTAGACGACATCCTAGTGTTCTCTAAGACGAAAGATGAGCACGTGCAGCACTTGCAGAAGGTCTTCGAGGTCTTACGGAGGGAGCAGTTATACGCTAAGCAGTCGAAGTGCGAGTTCTTCCTTCCAGAGGTCGAGTTCCTAGGACACGTCGTATCCGCTAGTGGCATTAGGACTGACCCGAAGAAGATCGCAGCAGTACAGGATTGGGTAGCACCGACCTCAGTCAAGGAGTTGCAGAGCTTCCTCGGTTTCGCGAATTACTACCGTCGTTTCGTTCAGGGTTACGCATCGATCGCTAGTCCACTCAACGACCTACTTCGGAAGGGCGTAGAGTACGTTTGGGGTCCAGCGCAGCAGCAGGCGTTCGAGCAGATGAAGCAGTCGCTCACGTCCTCACCGACACTGTCGTACCCTGATCCCACTCGCCCATACGTTGTAGTGACCGACGCTTCCGATCAGGCCATAGGAGCAGTGCTTCTTCAGGACCAGGGACGCGGGTTGCAGCCGATCGCGTACGAGTCGCGTAAGCTTAGGGGAGCGGAGTTGAACTATCCCATACACGACAAAGAGGCGCTCGCGATCATCCATGCGTATAAGGTGTGGAGGTGCTACCTAGAGGGGGCAGATAGTGTTATACGCACGGACCACTGTTCGCTTCGTTTCCTCAAGTCGCAGCCGCAGCTGAGTCGTTGCCAGGCTAGGTGGATGGAGTTCATGGAAGGGAGCTTTCACTACAGGATAGAGTACAAGCCAGGCGTGTGCAACCCAGCAGATCCGCTCACTCGCCCTAGTTGTCAGCTCGCCAGTCTCATAGTCACTGCTGGCCACCCACTTCTCACAGCACTCTTCGAGCACGGTTACACAGTAGATCCCGACTTCACACCGCAGCCGCCCGCAGGAGCAGAGGTGCAGGGTAGTGTCTACATACGGAAGGGTACCACACGGATTTGGGTTCCAGCCTACCGCCCTCTTCGACAGCTCCTTCTCTCAGAGGCGCACGACGTAGTTAGTGCAGGGCACTTCGGAGCAGATAAGACGGCTAAGACGCTTAGTCGCACGTACTACTGGCCCGGGCTTGCAGCAGACGTAGAGGATTACATTCGCTCGTGGGACACGTGTCAGCGTACGAAGTCCTCTCGCCAGCGCAAAGCAGGACTCTTGCAGCCGATTCCACCGCCCGACCGCCCTTGGCAGGTAGTTACCATGGACTTCATCATGGCTTTACCGCGCACAGTTAGGGGTCACGACGCCATCTTCGTAGTAGTGGATAAGTTTTCTCGAGCAGCGCATTTCATCCCCACGCACGGCAAGGTCACAGCAGAGGAAGCCGCGACGCTGTTCGTAGATAACGTAGTCCGACTGCACGGGGTTCCAGATTCCATCATCTCAGACCGCGACCCTCGTTTCACTTCGAAGTTCTGGAAGCAGCTTTTCGCACTGTTTGGGACTCGCTTAGCCATGTCGTCTGCGTACCACCCAGAGACAGACGGACAGACCGAGCGTGTGAACCAGACCTTGGAGCAGATCCTTCGCAGCATCACGATGCACGACGCAGCCGCATGGGACAAGAAGCTGAGCATGGCAGAGTTCGCCTACAACAACACGCACCACTCCGCCACAGGCATGTCACCGTTCTTTGCACTTTACGGTCAGCACCCCAATGTCCCCACTCGTGTCGATCTCACACCCACAGTCCCTCGTGCGGACAACTTCCACCAGCATCTCACCTTCATTCATGATCACGTGAAGAAGCACCTTGAGCTCGCAAATGCACGCATGGCACGCACCACCAACCGCAGTCGTCGTGAGGTGTCGTTCGCAGTCGGCGACCGTGTTCTCTTGGATAGCCGCAACCTCCGACTGCCACAGGACAGCAAGCTTCGTCCACGTTTCATTGGTCCATTCGTCATTGAGCGCGCACTAGGTCCAGTCGCATACCGCCTTCGCCTTCCCGCACATTTCCGCATGCACCCGTCATTCCACGTGTCTCTCCTTCGCCCATACACCGATCCCAATGCCACCTTCTCGGGCCGTGATCGCACTCCACTGCCGGTAGCTGTTGACACCGACGAGCCCGACTACCAGATCCAGCGCATCCTCAGGCACCGTCGCCGTCTCCAGGGGGGTGTCACTTTCATCGACTTCTTGGTTCGTTGGCGTGGTTACGATGCAGCAGACGACAGCTGGGTTCCTTCGTCCTCGCTGTCTCCTGACAACGCTTGCCTCCAAGCGTACCTTCAGTCTGCAGGCGCCGCGGACGTCGCCTCCTTGGGCGGGGGGTAGTGTTAGAGGGGTGTTTACTGTTCATTCCGAACAGTACATTCCTAGTCACCATTATCCTTATCTTCTCAGATTCTCTAGTGACACGTGGCACTCTACTTTTCTTGCACTCCAATTCTTGGTCCCACATTCCACTTTCCAACCTTGTTTCTTGCATGCTATATAAACCTTGCTTGTACTTGCCATGATCAATCAATTCTCATTCAACTCTTCTTCAATTACTCAGTAACTTCTTCGCCTATTTCGCCAATAGTTCTTTCGCCAAAGTCTTCCGCCGCGTTTCATCCTAGACTTAGTCGACCCCGCTAATTCTTTAGCGGACTTAGGCCGTCGGGCCTAACAGAAGGGGCCCTTGTTGCGAGGCTACAGCACTTTTCCTCCAATAATGCAGTGTGGCGCGATCCATTGTCCCAGCGCCGATTTTGTGTTCGCCAACGTTTTCGCCGTCGCACACCACTTGGGAAATGGCCGCTCGTAGCGACGATGGCGCCCGAAGGAACGCGTTCAGAGCAGCGACTTTTGTCGCAGCGGTCGCACATGGCCAAGGCCGTGCCGCGCCCGTCGCGGGGTGCGTCCCGCCATAGAGGTCCCCCTGCACACAGAAGCTCCGTGGAGCGCGGATTGATCTGCCGCACGCTAGGCTCGCTCGATGCCTATTTAACCCCCCCGTGGCCGATCGCCCTCGTCACCTCTCCTGCTTTACCACTAGGCGGCACCAACACCTCGACGTGTCTGCGAATCGAACTGCCCTCTATTAGCAGCGAAATTGCTCCGCGGCACATCCGCCGCGTCTGCCATTAGCAGTCGCCAGTCAGTGCCCTGGTACCATCTTCTGCGCGCCTCCTCTCGTCACCCGAACCAGCGTCGCCGGCGGCTGAACTCGTTGCGTGCGCTCAAGGGCGAAGAGAGCAGCAGCATGGAGACTTATGGCAAGGCCGTGCGTGTGCTGCTCGCCATCGTCACCGTCACCGTCATCGCCGGTACGCTCCGCGCGCGTCGCTTTCTCGCCGTGCTCTCAAGCGGGTCGTGTCCTCGCCGTCATGACTGTTCAATGCGGCACCACACGACAGTGGGCACCCCTGAGACATGTCCAAAATGAACACGCCCGTGCCTCCATGCCCCTCCCATGCCACATTTGCCCCTCTCTTGCAGCGTGTCTCGTGCAGCCGTCGCACGCAGCTGGGGTGCTGATGGGGAACGTGAGGCTTGGCACGCGGATGTACATCGACGGGCGCGAATTGCTCTTCGTGTCGCCCTGTATCGACATTCCTCCCATCACGGGTGTTCTGCCCGCGGACGCACGGCCAGCAAACGATGATCGCTGGGCTGATTGCATCTCAATCCGGTTCTTCCAGGACGCAGGGTGCGCGGGACCCGTGTTGTACACTTATGACATGACGACCAGGTGCGCTTCTCGTTCTCTTGCTCGCCTTGCTTCCATGCTCCTATGCTATTGACGCCGCTCGGTTGTTCCCCCACCTGACCAACGAGCCGTGCACTCGTGGCGCCCTTCCCCCTGTGCGCAGCACCATGAATCTCCCCATTGGCAATGCAGTGAAGTCCGCCCGCTGCGACATTGCTGGTGCGTCCTCTCTTTCCTTGCCCCGCCCGCCTCTCCACTCCATGCAAACTCGTCCTCTCTCTCTCTCTCTCTCTCTCTCTCTCTCTCTCTCTCTCTCTCTCTCTCTCTCTCTCTCTCTCTCTCTCCCTCTCTCTCTCTCCCTCTCTCTCTCTCCCTCTCTCTCTCTCCCTCTCTCTCTCTCCCTCTCTCTCTCTCCCTCCCTCTCTCTCTCCCTCTCTCTCTCTCCCTCTCTCTCTCTCTCCCTCTCTCTCTCTCCCTCTCTCTCTCCCTCTCTCTCTCCCTCTCTCTCTCCCTCTCTCTCCCTCGCCACGCTCTCACCTGCGCAGCCCAGTTCGCAGTGCTGAGAGCACGAGTGGGAGGGTGACAAGCCTCATCCCTGCTTTCTCTTTCCCCCTTTCCACACTGCGCTCTGCTGCAGGTGACGTCTGCAAGTATGCGCGCTGCCCTCCCAACTCCAAGTGCGACCCATCCACTTACGACCCCAACCAATCCAAGAGCACCACCAAATCCAATCTCTCCGGCTACATAGTGGAGTGCCCGTGCAACGAAGGCTACGTCGCTGCCAGGCGCCGCTGCCAACTCAGTAAGCCTCCTACTCATCGCTTCTCATCGATTCGCCTCATTGTACTTCCCTCTTCCGCCCTCCCTCGCTTGCTCTCTCTGAACGCTTCCATGCCTTGATGGACCCTAGTTCTCACCTGCCCGATCTCCCCTGTCTGCGCTGCAGACACCACAGGATCTGGCATCCCCACCACTGCACCTTCCAAGGAAACCCCCGCAGCACCTTCCAAGGAAAACCCGGCAGTGCCTTCCAAAGAAACCCCCCCAGCAACTTCCAGCGACCCTCCCCCAGCAACTTCCAGTGACCCCCCCCCCCAGCATCTTCCAGTGAAACCCCCCCAGCATCTTCCAGTGAAACCCCCCCAGCAACTTCCAGCGAAACCCCTGCAGCAACTTCCAGCGAAACCCCTGCAGCAACTTCCAGCGAAAACCCATAAGCTTGTGAGAACACTTCAGAAGCTTCCAAAGACACGTCTTATCGCAGCCCACAGTATCTTTCTCCAAGCCACGAGGCCTAAATAAATAGGGATAGCTCAGAAGATTTAACGACATCTTGTGTAGCGATTGGTGTTGCTATGCTGCTGTTTGTCAGACAGGTTGAATGTTTCATTTCAACTTCACGAAATAGTCAATCGCGGCTGTCCGTGCGAGTTTGTTTAGCCTACCAACTTGGTGAAAACAGATAACTCTCGTAACAGCTAACAATACAAATACACAAACGGACTGTGTGGTGAGAGGTGTTTGTGCATTGGACAACCCACCTTCTAATCAGAAGTGAATTTGACCTTGAAGAGGAGTGCGCTGCCCTGTGCGTTTGGGATTGGTTCAGCAGCTCCGTTCCCGCTCACACTGGTTTTGGATCTCGCTCAACAAGATTCTCCGCGCCACGACTCATGGGCAATGACAAAGCGCCCTGATTTATGGTTTCCAATTCCTTTCGCCAGTGGTTTTGACACCACCCCGCTACACGCTCGCGTCCGATACCTTCGGGCCTATAATTTCGCTAATTCCCTTTCCAAGTCCTACCAATCTTATTTCCTTTTTCTTTAGGGGATATTCAAAATCAAGCATCGCTTCATTTTTCTAGCAGCGCGGAACAAAAATATATATACCCCTCTTGGATGGCATGTCATTCGGGAGGCATCAACCCTAAACACCATGAGGCAAGGTGTTTAGGGTTGATGCCTCCCTAATGGCCAGCAATCCGAACGGGTTTTATTTTTTTTTAACACTGGCCTCAAAACTGAAACCAGGTAGACTTCATAATTTCCCCGGTCACAGAAAATTGGAATTGTCGGAAAAAACTGCCCCAAGGAATCGGACGTGACCGCGAAGCGGGGTGGTGTCAAAACCACTGCCGAAAGGAATCGGAAACCAGAAAACAGGGCGCTCCGTCATCTCCTCTGTTCTGCAGGTGCATCAGCTCTGATGCGCCAGAGGCTCGGACTGATGCGCAGAATGGAAAATCGAGGGGCATGGGGATCATCATAGAAGAGATACCACTGTGTGCATGTTCCACACCCCACCACACCGCTTGTTCACCAAGGTGGACTTGGAATCTGACGTTCAGTGAGTAATCAGCTCAGCACAACCCTGAGGACGTCACAGCGGGTGGGAGGATGATGTCACGTGGCTGGTAAATGGAAAATGCGTTACGCGTGCAGCATGAATCTCAACGCGCAGCTCGCCATGGCGGCCGGAAGAGTTTGAGAATGCCGCATTTCCAGGCTTCGTCTCAAGGACCAGCGAAGAATTAACGCAGACGAATAAGGGAGCATGTTGCATTGACTGACTAATCCTTTAGATATTATTTTTTTCCGCTTGGCGTTGCTGTAGTAGTAACGAGTGCAAAACGAGCTTCGAGTAGATTTTGCGGAATGTGCTATTAATCCAGCCCGGTGGCGCTGTTTACCCCGCTGTAAGACATGGATATTACGCTTCGATTTAGAGTTCCCGCTACTCTGCTCAACCGGGACCCCGCTAATGCGAGTGGCAACAGCAGCGGCAGCAGCAGCAGCAACAGCAGTGACACTTCGGTCACCAGTGGCGATAGCAGCAGCTTCAGCGTTGCCACTAGCAGCACTGGAACGGACACTATCCCTCACTCACAAGACGAACGAACCGCGGCGACGATCCAGCGAACAGCAGATTCCCACGTGGATTATTCCGTCACCGTTGATCCTAACGAGCCTCTCCAATCAGCGATTGACAAGCTGTTCCAGTCCCACCTGACGTACTGCTGCCTGCCAGGTCAGCAGCAGGATGGCGCGGAGAAACGAGGAGTTCAGGAGCAGGGGAAGAGGAGCAGAAAAACCGAAGGGAAGCAGGCGGTTCGGTTCATGGCTATCGGACAAGTGGTGTACTTATCGCCTGCTGTTTCGGCCGTCAAGGCGAGGCTTAAATCGGGTACAGTGATCAAAGTGCTGGCAGTGAAATCGAAGGAGGTGAATCGCGAAGGTTCTGGCAATAGTAGCGGCAGCGGCTGCGCGAGTAACGCTGCGGTTGAAGAAAAGGCAAGAGCGGATGGGGATGAGGAGAGTCCAGAGGTCTCTGATTCCACGCATCTCCCGCTGGCAGCTCCTCAAGACACCACCACCACTACGCCGGGGAGTTCTCACGCCGGAAACTCCTCCCCACAAGGTGCTGACTCAAACTCTGCGCGTGTCTCCGCCGCACTTGTCTGCGCCTATGCGCTGGCCTCCGCTTATGCATTTGCCTCCGCCTCCGCCGCGCTTGCCCCCGCCTCCGCACCCGCTGCACCGTCTCCTCTCCCTGCATCTGCCACGGATACCACCAGCACCAGCACCCCTACCACTACCAGCACTCCGGCACAAGCTGACTTACGGCCCTGCAACTACTGCAGCAGCAGCAGCAGCAGCAGCAGGAGCAACAGCTCCAGTGACAAGAACCGCAGTCGCGGCGGCAGCAGCAGTGGCAAAGCCAAGGGCCCTTCAGTGAAGCAGCCGCCCCTCCCCCTGCATCACGCGGAGCACGCGCCACTCTCCCGCGCGCACATGGTGCACTACGTGGACGTGCACCTGCCGTGGTCGCACTCCCTCTGCGCCTGCTGCCTCCCCCGCATGCTCCGCCCCGCCCCGCCCGTCGCCTTTCACGTCTCCTCGCTCGCATCGCTGCGCAACCACCTGAGCAAGCCTTTGCCGCCCCCTTTTCCGCCCTTCCGCTTCGGCCATAAGCCCCCGCGCGCCATCACCGCCTACTCCGCCACCGTCCCTCTCTCCGCCCCTCCTCTCCGCCCAGGCGGTGCCACTGCTGGCGCTGGCGCCTCTGCTGCAGCTGCTGCTGGCAGTGCTGTTGCTGAAGAGAGCGCAGCAGCGCCGTCGGTGGCGCAGCAGTATCGGTGGAAGGTGGACGCGGCGCCTGTGGTTGCAGCAGAGGGGATGATGCTCGAATGGCTGGCAGAGCCACGTGTCGGCCTGCTACTGGACCTCCATGCGACACGGCGCCAGCTGGCGAAACGTCTGGGGATGGATGAGCTCGCTGCTGCACGTGCTACAGCCAGCACCAGGCGTGCTGGCCGCCGTGCTACAGCCGGTCGTCAAGCGCTGTGGTGGTGCTGCTGGCAGTGCTCCTCTTGCTTCGCCTCCTACCGCCATGCCGTGTCCGTTGCTGCGTTCCTCGTGCTTGTTGCCAAGTTCCCCCGCTTTGTCACTCTCTGGCGCGCGAACGTGCGTTCTCCCAACTCTACTCTCGTGAGTCTGGCGTTTCAGTTCGATGCGGGGCGGCAGGCGCAGGACGACTACTTGGCGTCGCTGCTGGTGCAGGTGCTGGGAGTGAAGGGCAAGCAGCAGCTGGAGACCGGCTTTGCTGCCCACCTGCTGCCGCTGCTGCTGGGAGGGAGGCACGCGGATGGGGAGACGGGAGGGGGAGGGGGAAGTCAGGGGACGGAGGGGGAAAGGGGAGAGGAGTGGAGGGAGGGGTTGGGAGGGGTGGAGTGGGAGGAGTATGTGGAACGCGTGGGGGAGATTGCCGCCCAGGGAGGGCTGGCAGGCGAGCAGTACCGCTGCTGCTGCTCGCAGTGCTGCCAGGGCGAGGGAGTGAGTGCGAAGGATACTCGGTGCAAGAAGAAGAAAGGCTGTCGAAACAGCAGCAGCAACCCCTGCAGCAACACAGGCAGTATCGCTGGCCCTGGCCCTGGCACTGGCACTGGCCCTGGCAGTGGCAGTGGCAGTGGCAGTGGCAGTGGCAGTGGCATGGTGATATCTGGTGTCGACCCCACCGAGTTCGCTCTCAAGTGCGCATTCAACTTCGCTGAACCGTGGTTTGCGAGTTGTGGTGCGAGTATGTTTAACGAGTCAGCTAATAACAGGTACAAGGAGAGAGTGGAGGATGCTGCATTGGAGGAGGCATGGAGCCGGCTGGCTGTGGGAGTGGTAAATGAGGAGAGGAGTGGTGGGAGTCGCGGAGAGGGGAGCGGAAAGAAGGGTGGGGCGAGAGGGGGTAGGAGTGGAAAAGAGAATGTGGAGCAAGGAAAGGTTTCTGGTAAGGGAGCGAAGGATAAAGGGAAAGCAGCAGAAGAAAAGGCAGCAGCAGCAGCAGCGGCGACAGCCACCTCTGCTCGCCCTGCTCTGGCTTCTAGTGCTCCAGGCGTAGTTTCTGGTGCTGCAAGCACTGCCAGGCTGGTTCCCGTGAACAGTAACACGGTGGTTGGAGTGTTCACATACCGAGTCACCTCCCTGCTGCGATGGGTGCGGATTTACGGGCCGAGGGTCAACCCTCCCAAGTACTGTGGCCGTTATACTATGGAAAAACCAAACGCAGCCCTCCCACACCCAGTCCACGACCTTCCGAACCTGCTTCTCAGGTTCGGCGCTGTGCCGAAGCCAGTCATCGGCCCAGGCTCGGAAGGTAAATCAGCAATTGGGTGGGAGGAGTTCCCAGAGGGGGACAGGGAGGAGCTAGAACCATATGAGAAGGATCCCTGGGGGGATATGGGGTTCAACGCCTTTAACACGGGGGATTTCCGGGATGGTACACCTGACGTGGAAGAGCACACGAAGGAGGCCAACGAGAGGTACATCATGATGCCCCCGCCTGACGTCACCCCTCTCTGGAAGAGCCCCAGCCCTCCCTACTACGAAACGCTTGCTGCCCGCGTGGAGGAGTTTCTGAGAAGGTTCGCTCCGAGGAGGCTGGCAATGGAGGGGAGCAATGGCCGTCTAGCATCCGCCATTGCCACATGGGTGGGGCGCTTGGGGCTGGGCAAGCGCAGCTGGGCGGCACTGGCCTTGGGGCCGCTCTCGGATGCAAAGCTGCATATGCTGCTGCGGTCTCAACAGGAGATGGACGAGTTTCTGGAGATGCTGGCTGGGGATCTCTCTCCTGTGCCTGTCTGCACCCATTGCATGTGCTGCGCTGCTCTGTACTACGAGTCGGTCATCATGGTGTCCCTCGCCGCGACCTTCGCCTTCCGCCCTTCCGTCATGCTGCTGCGCTGCGTCCTCTCGCTCTTCCCGCCTGCCTCGCCACAGCTCAAGGGCCTCCTGGCTGCTGTGGGCGTGGCGCCCATCCCTGCAGCGGTCCCGGACTCGCTGGTGGCGGCGCTGCTGGAAGGCGTGATGGAGCAGAAGCGCGTGCGCTTCCTGTTCCATGCCATCCAGCTGCTCTACCAGAACCAGTCGTATGCCAAGCTCCTGGAGCCTATCGAAGAAGGGTCTGGGGTGAACATTTACGAGCCGCAGGGCAGGCAGGGGAAGCAGAGGGAGGGGGAGGAGGAGTGGTGCATCTGGGAGGAGGTGGACAGCTGGCGGATTGCAGCGGAGAGGGCTTGGCCGGTGCTGGAGCTCCGTAGTGTGGCAGTGCTCGAGCTGGATACTGGCGGGGCGGCTGAACGGCAGGTGAAGGTTTGTGAGCGCATGCGGCGTGTGATGGCGGAAGAGGAGGTGAAGAAGCGGAGGCATGCTCAGGCTGGCGGTGCTGCTGGGGAGGGTGCGAGTGGGAGCAGCAGCTCTGGTAGCAGCAAGGGCATGGGGAAGGGGAAGAGTCTGGCAGGAATGGAGGGGAGAGGCGGGACTGGGGAGGGGAAGGGGGGGAAGGCAGGGGCATCGTACCTGGAGCCGTGGCCGGGGGGGGTGAATCCTCTGGCGTGTTTGAGGGAGATGCTGTTGGGGGAGACCAGCTACTGCCCCCAGGCCAAGGTGGATGCTGTTGCTGCCGCTGATGCTGCTGCTGCCCATGCTGCTGCCACTGGTGAGGGGACCAGAGTAAGGAGCAAGGAAGGGCCGCGTGGCTGTGCATCCCCGCGGTGCAGCAAGGTGGAAGGGGCGGGGGTGCAGCTGAAGCTGTGCTCGCGGTGTGGCAAGGCTGCCTACTGCAGCAGGGAGTGCCAGAAGGCCCACTGGCCCTTGCACAAGCTCACGTGCCAGCCCAAGGCCAAGGGGGGAGTTGAAGCATAGTAGTTGCTAACTTGGGTTCTCCCCAAGTGATGGCAACCTGGGTATTGTACCAGATGGAAAGCACTGGAACCGCCATAATACTAAGGCACTCGCACTGTTTTTGTTTTTTTTTGCAGAATTCTAAAAAGACTATTGGACACTGCCATACTTTTGCTGTGTTGTTTGATGTATAAGCCCAGAATCTAATGTCACGTCATTCAGAATGTTAAGGGGGGATTTACTGTTCATTCCAAACAGTACTTTCCAATTCACCCTTATCCTTATCTTCTCAGATTCTCTAGTGCCACGTGGCACTCTACTTTTCTAGCTTCACAATTCCTAGTCCCACAATCTACTGTCCAACCTTGTTTCTTGCATGCTACTTAAACCAGGGCCCTAGATATCAGACTTTTTACGCTGATTCAGCGTCCATTCAGACATTTTTTAGGTACCAGGTCTGAACTGTAAGTTTTTTTTAATGTACATTCTCTTATTTGTCAGAGTTTTTTTTAATGTAGCGGCTGAAATTTCAGACAAAATGTAGGGGTGTAGGCTGAGCCTCAGCCACGTTTCGGGGGTGCACTATGAAACGGGTACTGCAGGGGTCCGCCAGCCTGGCGGCGTGTTTGCACTAACACCGTCAATCACGGGCGGGAAACGGAACATTTCCCGAGCGCGGCACCGTAGCGCACAGTCGCGTTGGGCCAGGGATGCTGTAATCTGGCTCAATTCCAGCCAATCGCTACAGCGCAGCAGGCAGTGTTGGCAAGATTCCCTGCCAAAGCATAGCTTGCACCCGGACAACACCACAACCACCCACCCCCCTCCAACGTCCACCGTGCCAACGCATAGCTCGCAGCGCGCTGCAGCTCTCACGTGACCACATCCATCCACCCCAGTCACCCCACCTTCCCTGCACCCACGACCAGGTGCCGTGCATGCAGTGCAGTGACGAGCAAGGAGATGAGCGATCCAAATACGAGGACCCCTCATCTTCCTCATCGTCGCCCTTCGTGGGGGTCACTCCGTAACCTGTTTCTCTCGCCTCATTCAATTTCTTCGCCAGATAGTATTGCTTGAACCCTTGTTTCTGACTCTCCCTCGCTCTCGCAAAACCAGTGCTCGGCAGACTCATGGCAGCCACAGGCGCTGCCGCCGAATCGCCCGACGATGATGACGAGACAGATCGACGGCCTGCGTCAGACGCTGTGACCGGCCTGGACTTTCTACGAGCATGCTTGCCGACGCATGTCCCACCGACTACTCCACCGTCGCAACCTAGCTCTAGCCGTCCTCCAGTTTCCGTTCAACCTGAACCTGTCCCCACAGCCATCACTGAACTGGTCGAAGCTGCGCCACAGTCTGTGCCCAATGAGGCGTCCGCTGAAGCACCATCCCGTCCCGCACCACCGTCGAAGCTGCATTACCGTCAGACCACGTTTCCGTGGGCAACTCCTCCTCCATCGACCGTTGAAGCTCCAGCGAGAGTCGAATCTCCCATGCAGGGCAGCTCAAAGCCGACCGACAAGTCTGACTCCGATAAGTTTGAGTTGAAATACGAAGAAGCACACTTTCGTTTTAAAACAAAGTGGTCTACCGATTACGACTGGCTTATTCTAACTAAAACCTCTACCGGTGCCCCAAGTTTTAAGTGCAGCATTTGCCTGGAGTTTGCAGGACTTACAGGCAAGTGTAGACGGGGTGGTGAGGGCGCGACCGGCGTGCAGACGCAGGCCTTCAAGAAGCATGAAGGCACGGTGAAGCATCGTTTTGCACTGAAGCGGTAGGAGGACCTCCTCCAGAAGTATGGCGATCAACATCGCATCGACCTACTGTCAGAATGTTATCTTATGCTCTAGCCTATAGTGGGGTGCTCTATAGCGAGTACAACCCTTCTAGGGTTTGCTATTTGTATCCTCATTCTTGCTATTGCAATCCTCTTCTCTCTTCTAACTTTCACATGGTATCAGAGCAGGTCGATCCCCTTGGATCGATCCTGTGGGTGGGTTACCACGTCCTCGCTTCCGCTGCAACACCTACTCTACTCACTGAGCCACACGCCCCGTGGTGTGCGGCACTTTTTTCTTCCCGCCGTGCGCCCCGAGGCGCGCGCGGCGGTTTTCTCCCCGCCGTGCGCCCCGAGGCGCGCGGCGGTTCTCTGCCCGCTGTGCGCCCCGAGGCGCGCGGCGGGCTTCTGCCCCGTCGTTCGCCGGGTCGCCCTCTGGAGGCGCCGCGACGGGCGACGGGGACCAGCGCGTCGCCCCCCGTCGCGGCTTGCGCGCGGCCCGTACAGGCAGCGCGCGGCCCGTACGGGCTGCGCCAGGCCCGTACGGGCTGCGCCAGACCCGCGCGCTGCCCGTACGCGCTGCGCCAGACCCGCGCGCTGCCCGTACGGGCTGCGCCAGGCCCACGCGCGACCCGTACGGGCGGCGCCTGGCCCACGCGCGGCCCGTATGGACGGCGCCAGGCCCGCGCGCGACTCGGGTGCCTTTCCTAGGCCCATGGTGGGCCCCTTCCTCGTTGCCCCTGCCCTCCCAGTGTTCCCCCTATGCTTCTACTGGCGCCACACCCCTCCTACTCCCCATTCTCCTGAATTAGGGTTTGGGGGTGAGGGGTATGGGGGTGACTTTCCTGGTGTGCCGTTCCCTGCTCCTCATCCTCCTCCGTCTCCCTGTGCTGCAGCTGCCGCTGAGGGGGTTTGGAAGTGTTGGAGCCGGTGGAGTGGTACTAAGGGGGGGTGAAGGGGGAGTGGAGCTAGCGGCGTAGCAGCAGGTGTGTGCCAGGGGGAGTGGGATAGTTTGGGGAAGCTGCATGGAGGTTGCCGTCGTGTCGCCAGCAGCACCTGTATTCCGGGGACTTTGCCCGGTAGCCCAGTCGTAGCCAGCTGTGCCAGCCGCCCGTGGGTCCGTTGCTCGTCTGCCGCTACTTTAGCCGCGGGGCCAGTTACTCCAGTATTCCGGGGACTTCGCCCGGTAGCCGTTGTGCCAGTCTGCCTCCTGTTGCCCGTGTGTCTGCAGCTTCAGCCGTCGCCTCCTATCTCCTCTCCTCTCACTCTCTCTCCTCCTCCTCACTTGCCTGTTGTGACTACCACTAGCTTTGCTCATAGTTGTGAACTTTTAACTATTGCTTCTTGAACTTGTGCTCAAAATGTGTGGTGACATTGTGATCCACCCTGAGCTTGTACTGCTTTGCTTGCTCTGCTGATTACACCCCACTTTGGCTATGGGGGTGTGTCAGAATGTTATCTTATGCTCTAGCCTATAGTGGGGTGCTCTATAGCGAGTACAACCCTTCTAGGGTTTGCTATTTGTATCCTCATTCTTGCTATTGCAATCCTCTTCTCTCTTCTAACTTTCACACCTACACCCGAAAGCGCAGGACAAGGAGATGTTGCAGATCTCGGCGCTAGTGGAGTCGCTGTACTTCATGAGCTCGTGCAACGAGCCCATGGACGCTTGGATTCGGCTTGTGCGCTATCTCGCAAAGAAGAAGGTGCCCGGCTTTCCAGAGCAGGGCTACGGCACGTACTACAACACGTAAGTTTATTGCGGTTGTAACCACCGAATCGTTGATTTCTTCTAACTCACAGTTGCTAACTGCCTCTGGTCTTGTTTTTTTTTATACAGGTACGGCTTTGGAGAGTTAACACAGGCAATTTCAACATGGCTCCAAACAACACAGCTGGAACACCTTCTGACGAGCCCCTTCATCGGGATCACCTTGGACGAGAGCACAGACCGGCGGCGCGGCAAACACATGATCGTGTTTGCAACCTTCCTGCGCGACAAGCAAGTTGTGACTGAGTTCTTTGCTCACCTCACGGTTGAGAAAGCTGACGCTGCATCCCTATGTAGTTTGCTGCTCTCCCACATCAGGGCTGTCGGCGTGGACCTCCGCCGTATTTCGGGAGTGAGCACGGACGGCGCGATGGTGATGGTGGGAGTCCACACCGGTGTGGTGGCTCGTCTTCGGATGCTCATCCCCAACCTGGTTTCGTTCCACTGCATCGCTCACAGGTGCGTTGTTGTTGTTGTTTTATTGTTTGTTTAGTCGTTTAACAGTAACATACGATGCTAATCATGCTTGTTTGTACGTCTTGCAGGGAGGCATTGGCTGCCAAAGCCGCTGCAAAGTCTATACCCACTTTCAACATGGTGGACGACATAATCCGTGCTGTCGCTGAGTACCTGGGGCGATCATCACCGTGGCATCAACGGTTCATGGACCTGCAGGAGGTATTTACCTCCACCAACCTCGAGGTGCAGGGTATCCACGAGGTGCGGTGGCTTTCAAGGGGTGTTGCGGTCGCCCGCTTCGTCGAGGTCCTCCCAACCATCATGGTGATGCTGTCAGAGTGGAAGGACCAGACGATGTACGAGATCGTCACGTCCTACCGGTTTCAGTTTCTGCTTCGGTTCCTCGCGGATGTTCTGGACCTCCTCAACATCTTCTCAAAGGTTTTCCAGCATCGTGAGGTAAGAAAGTTGAGTAATCTTGTGTTTTTCTTAAGCCGGAAACCGTGCTCTAACTAAAACTTCATTATGATGTGGCAGCTCGACTACCCATTGGTGCACACACAGATTGTGCGCACAACATCTCTCCTGGAGAGTCGGTACATCGACTGCGGAGATGACTTCGGCGGCAGGCATAACGAGCGGCTTCATCGATTCATCGAGAAGCATGGGCCGCAGGGGACACCAGAGATGGTGGTGGAAGGCGCGTCGCCGGATGGGAGTCTCAACCGCTTCAAGATCACCCTTCACGAGCGCCGAGTGGCGAACTATCTCGGGGCGGGCCATCACGATGTGTGTGTGGCGCTCTGCACTGACTTTGCCGAGGGCCTCGTCGAGGAGCTTCAGTCTAAGCTCGGAGACCTCGACTCTCTGTCTGGCGTGCGGCTATTCATACCTGACGAGTGGCCTCCGAATTGGGAGAGGAGTGCACGGCAGGCACAGTGCCTTGAGTGGCTGTTGTCGCTAGTCACTCTGTTCCGCGCCGATGACTGCGAAGAGATTTTGCCA